ACTTCCACGTAAGATCTTATAGATTAGGCAGTTATATCATGACGAATCTACAATTTTGGGATTAGGTCTATTATTAGAGCAGTACTAATATCATAGTAGACCATAGTTCTACAACTGCACATAACACTCTCCCAGCCGTTACTCTATAAAAACAAGTTAATAGCCATATTAATTAATTTATGTAAAACTAAAAATATTACAATATTAGAACTTCTTGTTATCAAGAAGCATAGCTATGGTCTGCATAAACAGTGGATTCTGATGATGTAGCTTCATCATTAGCACCGATTGAACTCATCACTTGTGCGCGTGTGTCTTCCGATGCTTCGAGGCATGAACGGATGAGTTTACTTGCCAAAGGTCCACTAAGAGCATGGATTGAGTGGTAGTTGTTAGTGAACTTTTCTAGCAGATCATCACTCCTTGTAGAGATTGACACGTTGTTTATCGCACGAGGAACCAAGTCCATTATGTATTTCCTTGTCCATCGGCTGCTATGTCGAAATAAGTCTACAAAGCTTATAAAGACAAAAGAACACACACTTACCTCCACGAACTACATCTTTAGGATGCGCATACAGAATATGACCACAGGGCAGCATGTAGTCATTGAAACGCTCACAAACACATCGTGCACGTGAAGTATCAACAACATACATCTACCCTTGTCGTAGCACCGGATGTATTCTCCTTCTACAAATTCGTGTCTCATTGTCCGAACACGTTTATAGTTTACAGCTACAATTTTAGATGCAAAAGATGTGAAGCCATTTAAAATAGTCCGAAAGGACATTAGAACCTGGAATTAATGATACATTAAACTATATTTCTTACCTGAAGAGTTGAAAAACGTTGAAGATCCTTTACAGCGTCATACGGAGGCCAGCTTAGGTTAGTGTCTATTTTACTCCAAATTTTCAGAGAGTCAATAGAAGAGAATCAACTCTTCTGAGACGTTCTTTTAGGTGCTTATGTATGTACAAGGCTTTGGAATGGAGTTCAATTATTTCCTTTAGGAAAAGTATTGAAGACCAAATAATAGTTGGGAGATCGTGCAAATATGATGCTCCACAGCGTCTAATTCCCTTGCTGAACATGCTGACGCCATTCGCAAGATCAAAAGTGTTATGTGAACTTAAAAAAACGCGTCTTGTTTATCTTGAATATGAAACCGGTGGCTTATTGTTTATGGTTGACTGCGGACGGCATTACGAAGTGGATGTAAATACGTGTGAATGCAATTGCAGCACATTTATTATGTGTTGATATTCTTGCCACTATCTGCTACTGCCATATGTTAAAAGACGAACTCTTACAGGTAAACTTTATTAATTATGAAATATAAACTGTATAGCTCACCAACTCTTTAGATATTGCAGCAGATGGAATTTACGTATTACGCATAACTTCCAAAATAACACAACAACTGCATTACCAAGACGGAGTGAAGTGTACATAAGCATTCAACGAAGCCAAAGAATTAATAAGCATCGTATCATTGAGAAGTATGGCGGAAGTTTCGCGACGGAAGTTGAGAAAAAAGTGAACAATTATTATTCGTTCCTAATTGTTATAGACACTTACTCGTAAACATTATTGGTACTCATCCCCACGAAAGTATTAATAAGAGAAAAATGAAAATGATGCATAAGTTTATTGAATTATCATTAATACTGAAGCAGAAAAACAAGTTTACAAGTTGTTATTAAGAATCGTTGCGAGCACTTGAAGGTCAAACTTTCGCAAAATGATTGGTGCGTCACATTGACAATTCGTGAAAATTTTCAGAAGCGGTCAAACAAAGACATTTTTAGATTTGAATTGAGTTCAGACACATCGTGTCTGATAACGTTCATTCTTCAAGTAACGAAGACGATGCCATCGTGATGATGCATGATATAGGACGAATCTTCAGTGATATTACCTTATTTCGAAGATTTACAAGTTGGAACAATTTTGAGACCTGTTTGAAAGAAGTACATAAGGTAATATGACTTCTGTGGTTAATGATTCAATGATATTATGTTATCTTGATGATTTACAAGTTGGGACAATGTTGAAACAGAATACAAAAGCGTGTGAATCAGTAAGTTGCCGCTTGAAATGCAAGGGACAAGAGCTGCTGATTGGTTTGGTCTATCGCAGTCCAAGCTGTGAGGTAAACGAAGTCCTGCTAAGCAGTCTCAATACTTGGTCACAAAATGGTCGATGTCTAATCCTAGGGTACTTTAATGCACCTATGGTAGACTGGTAAAATCTGCTAACTGAACCGTCAGATAATTCCTTCGAGCAGGAACTAGTTGATGCGGTTATCACATGTGCTCTAGCGCAACATGTGAAAGAAGCGACTAAGTACGACCCGGACACTGAATCATCCTTACTAGATCTGGTACTCACTCACTATGTGGATGACGTTGCGAACCTCAATTATATGCCACCCCTAGGTAAAAGTGATCACGCAGTTTTAATTTTCGACTTCCATATAACTGTCAGTCACGAGCACGCGTCAGCCCAATCCAGACCTAACGTCTGGAAAGCAAATATACCAGGTATCATGCACTCAGCATCGTTAGTAGATTGGACAACAGACCCAGAGTCCTCAGTTGAAACAGCCTGGGACGCATTTCGAAATTCATACTTAAAAATTACCACACTCCACATCCCTTGGACTATACCAAGGGGACCGAGAAACTCCCCATCATGGTTCAGTAGGGAGGTCCGCATCCTTCTCCGTAAGAGAAGAAAAATGTGGGATAGATTTAGGTTACTGGGGACTGATGAAACTAAATTCCAGTATAGAAAAGTCCGGAATACCTGTGCCTCGACCCTCCGTAAGTCTAGAAAGTTGTACGAAGAAAAGATTGTTAAGGAATCCATAGAATGTCCTAAACGCTTGTATTCTTATATAAAACAAAGGACAAAGAAAAGAGGAAATATTCCTTCTTTATGGGGAGATAGTACTGCCGCGTCACTAGTGGAGGACGACTTTGTAAGGCTCAGGTGTTCTAAAACTACTTTAGCAATGTATACACCATAGAAGCGCCCTTCCCATCAGCGCATACAGATCCCCTCACACATACACTGGATAGCGTGATCATTAAAGAACTCGATGTCTTTGGTCTACTAAATAGGCTTGACATAGGTAAATCCACGGGGCCCGATGAATTGCATCCTAGGCTACTAAAAGAATTATCTAACTTCGTCGCGAACCATTTAAGTATATGCTTTAACCTATCCGTAACGCAGGGTCGTTTACCCAAAGATTGGAAAAACGCCATAGTAAGTCCTGTCTTAAAAACAGGTACGAAACACAAACCTGAGAATTACCGCCCCGTTAGCCTAACTAGTGTGGTTGTTAAAATCCTAGAAAAGATTATTCGGAAGGAGCTGTTTAAGTATCTCCATAAAAACCGGATCCTCTCGGAGATGCAGCACGGCTTTAGAATAGGTCATTCTTGTCTCACTAACTTATTAGTGACTCGTGAAAGCTGGTGCGCTCGTAAGGACCAAAAGCTACCTGTAGACGTCCCCTTCATTGATTTCAGCAAAGCTTTTGACAAAGTTCCGCACAACTGGCTGTTATATAAGTTAAGAAAAGTCGGGATTGGAGGCAATTTATTGATGTGGATAAAAGGCTTCTTAGTTGGGCGTCGACAACGAGTACGAGTGGACTTAAAGTTATCTAGTTGAGAAACTGTGCTTAGTGGAGTGCCCCAGGGTACAGTTTTGGGAACAGTGCTATTCCTCTTGTATGCAAACGAATTTCCTCGTCTCCTGTCATCATCGGTCTTGCTATGTGCTGACGATGTCAAGATATGGAGAATGATACGATATGAGGGTGATAGCTTAGAACTTCAAAATGACCTGAAGAAATTATTTGAATCGTCTCAAACCTGGCAGTTGCCGATAAATACTGCCAAGTGTGTTGTGACGCATATCGGTCATCAAGGCACAGATACATACACGATGAATAACATTGAGCTGCCTGTCGTCCAGACATATAATGACATAAGAGTCATCGTTAGCGAAGACTTAAAGACTACTGCACACTGCCGTGCAATAACCGCCAAAGGTTTTATGACGTTATGGTCAATACGTCGGGCTTTTAGTCATGTCGACGCGAAGACGTTTTTGACTTTGTATACAGTGTTCGTACGTCCTAAACTTGAGTACTGCATACAAGTAGCTAGCCCCTGTTTAAAAAAAGACAGTGGGCTTTTGGAAAAAGTTCAGAGAACAGCAACTAAGCTGATTCCCGGAATAGCGAAGCTTCCGTATGATGCTAGATTGGCCAAGCTTAACCTATTCCCGTTTTCATATCGTAGAACTAGAGGCGAATTGATTACAGTTTTCAAATCGCTTAGTGATAAATTTGAGCCTGATATGCTTTCATTTTTCTTGTCCCCCAAAACAGAGGATTTACGAGGACACTCCAAAAAAGTTCACAAGCCCAGGACAAATTACTTGTCAGTTGACTATCGACTTTCCCATCGAATCATCAACGAGTGGAATTCATTACCTCAGCACGTGATTTAGGCTCCATCTATCGACTTTTTCAGAAGAAAGTTGGATCAACTGAGAGAAAACCATTGCCATGACTAACACAGGCCATCAAGCCTCCTGTCCTTTCCAAACGGAAGCTGGATTAACTCATTTATTTGTATTTGAAACCTTTGTCTTCTGTTAGCACACAAACTTTTATCTTGCTATTTTTACATACAGCGAGTGAACCTAATTTCTGACTATCTGATAGCTGCTGGTATTCAGAAATTTTTTTTCCTGAGACAAACGCACTCACTCAAATCGCAAGACATGCACATCCACAGCAAACTACCTAACTGACTAAAATAAGTATAGTCGAATTTCTAGGCTACCACTCATTGAACATTACCAAGTACCTGGAACTATACCCAAACAACAAGAAGCGAGAACAAAGAAATCCGGAAAGAAGCTACCTAACACTAGGACTGCCTTTGGCCAATTAGACATATCTTGTAGGTCAGTGTAAGCGGGGTTATTAAGTCAAATTTATGGCGCGGGTCTGACATTTTCTTATGGCTAGTGGTTCACGAGAGTTGCTTAGACTGTTTGCGGCAACAGTAAATCCACCACCCTTCATATAATATATTTTCAGATACAAGATGCAAGTACTTTAGCTGGTGAGATGCGATTTATTGATCTCAACTCTGCTTTCAAAATGACTTGTGAGCTTCAGCAGCGTGTCGTCGACCTTATATACTCACATAAAAAGCACTTAAGAACTTTAGAGGCCATTGTCCGAATCAAACAAGAAGGTAAAATTTTCTTTAAGGACTGCTTAGCTCATTGCTTCTAGACACAAGTTCAGTAAGTCGTGCGGAAATCTTCATGAAATATTTTTAGAATCTAAATGGAGAGTCTCAATGTCAGCAACAAACTCGTGACGAAAGTGAGACTGATGAACAAGTAGATCATGGTAGGTGTCTGTCCATTATCGTAAGTAGTTTTTTAGTTGGTAGGTGCTTTCAAATATTAGTAAGGCTATAGTTAGAATACTCAGTGGGATTATATTCCCTTGGTAGTGGATAAGCATAACTGCATCAAAACAAGGGGTATCAGCATGTTTGATAAGTACTTGAAAATAAATATCAGGTTCTGGAAAACACTACAGGAACTTATATAGGTGATTTGGCATTCTTGAATGATGTGTGGCTCCCGGCGACTCTACTCACATACGCAAATATAAAAAATATGAACTATCGAAGAATCCGTCTACTTTTCAAGTCAGTCATTTGAAAACGAAGAGCATTCTAATCTCTTGTATTTATGGTTTACTGATACAAGATGCGAGTACTAGGTTTGAACGTCATAAGACTTGTTTCTGTTAAGTATAAGATTCCTTAGTTTGTTATTTTAGTGCAATCTTAAAAATATATCATGCTCCACTCACTAAGAGCACTGTTGACAAAGAACAAATATGTCCACTCAATCAGCAATTAAATACGAGTGTAAACCACAATAAGCTTCAAATGTACTATTTTATTTCATAGTGCTTAAATCAGCCTGTGTTCATGCTGAATAGGCTGGCCTGGCAAGACAAATATTGAGTTAAGTCCAGCTTGAAAAGTTATATACGACCAGAGAACTTGAAGGTTAAACGAAGTAGATATATGGGGTTTGTGTTTTTTTCATTATCAAGGATTTCTTGATCCATTCTTCGAATAAGTCAATCACTTAATTTCTCTTTATCCTTATAAAATCACAGTTAAATTGAAGACAGCTTGCAAAGGCGGCTTAGTCTCCGGTCAGTGACGGTCTTGAATTTCACAATCAGTTTTCTCAGTCAATAAGTCATATGTGTATCGGATCAAGTTGTCTTACCAAGTGTAGTAGGCAAGGGTTGGGTATAGAAACATAGAAAAGCTGTAGGGAGATTCCTTTGCTCAGGTTTTACATGTAGACAAGAAGTGGGTGCACATACGTAATTATGAAGGATTCTGGAGCGTTTCACCCGAAGTCTCTAACCGTTGGTTACAATTATCACGCGGGCTTCAACCAGGTTGTCTACACCTATCAACATAACCCAGTTAATTTCTCGGTGACTTCAAAAATTGAGGTGGTTGGGGCATGTGTCGCGCATGCACTACAACATGATGCATAAAACCAAGTCTCGAAAGGCACCTATACGCTTTCCAATCATCGGTATAGATCGTGGTGCCAGGCTGAGCGTACTCCTTGATGATTGGTATTATTGTCGTTACCTGACGGTTTCTCACTCTTTTAAAATGTCCCTTTTGAGTTGAACGATCGTAAAATCCAAGTACCTGTCAAGTATATTCACGGAAGTGTTACTTACCCAATCTTCCTTGATAAAACGTCCTTTGTTGTATTTTCGCTTTCTAACTACTGTCTCATCTATTTCCACTATCTTTCCAACTCCTCCAAATGATTGATGTACTCCTGTCATTTTCAATGCGCATATATCACGGCAATATTCTTACCACTGAACGGCGGAAGTTTCCGTAACATCTGCAAAAGCCGCAGCTAATGTTACTGGAGACTTTATGATCCAATTTGCAACAATTATCATGACTTATCTTAGCCTGAGCCGTGACCGGGCAAAGAAAGTGCCAGTTCGAGCAGATTTTTTTCTCCAACATATGGTACAACGAAATGTGTTATCACGGTAGTCAGCACATCGTGCTGCAGTCACAGATACAGGAACTTCTTAATAGTCCCATTTCTTGTAGTCGCTCAACAATCCCCTCTTCTCTAAAATCTGCTGTAAAACAATCGAATTGCCTTAAGGTCAAGAATAACAATTATAGTCAGACATCAGGAGGTATGTCTATGTTCCAGAGCCTGATGAATAGTGAACATTTGGTCTATACATCCACGTCCAGGTCCGAAACCAGCATGGTTTTCCGAAGTTCGCTATTCACATACCCTGGTTAACCTAATATTTCGGACACCGTATTCGTCGAGTTGACTTCTCTGCAATTGTCACACGAAGATTTACTTCCTTTCTGACGAATTAGGATGAGCATCAATTAAGACCAGTTGGATGGGATTATGTCCAGCTCCATGACTGTAGACAAAGTATAAGTCAAGCTCACTACTGAGACTGTACCGCCACCCGTTAGTTTTTAAATCGTCTTATGAGAAACGAGGTACTTATGTAGAAATGGGTTAATACTCGTATAAATGCTTTTGCTTTGCAATGAACATTGTAATACAAAAACTTGAACTAAATACTGATGTACAAACAGATTGAGTAAAATTATATTTAATCAGGCATTGTATTGACTACAAGTGGTCATATAGTATGAAACATCGAGTCAAGTGCTTTTAGAGTATACCGACTTGTTAACCTGACACATTGATTCTTGGTCTCACGAGGTCATACCATGAACATTTCTGTTCGTTCCATCTAATCTTAATGTCGTCAGATAAACTATATGAAAGCCGCCAAAACCACACACGCAGCGGCCAATTCACCAGAATTGATGTTTTACTGTGGTAAATACGAATATGAATACTACTGGATCTCAACATAACCAACACAGTGTTACCACCAAATGTGGGCGATCATTTGGTGATAACAGCGACTAAACATAAAGTCGTTGAATATCCTAAGCTTAGAAGTTTGGCTTCAGAAATAAATAACAGGGATGCTAGCACTTCATTGTACATTCGGCTATATCTATTCAGAGGGCAACGCAATGTATGGAAAGATACGTGGTGTAATAACCAGAAGTAGGACTAAAGATCCCATAACTGTACAGCAATTATGTGCATCCCTACCGTAGTTTAACGTGTTTAGGTGAGAACTATGCTTTCGATTCCAATCACAACAACACAGATACAAAGTGCGAGGTATTTTTTTGGCCTTCGGTGTGTCGTTTTATAGATTACAAGACTGATAATGTAATGTCACTTTATTTTTTTGCAATAAAGTTTTTATACCAATTTGCATCCACTTTATGCAGTGACCGTATTGTTTTTTTACAGAAAGTACTGTACCAGTCAACAATGATGAATTGCCAAGCAATAACAGTCAAGAGGATCAACCGATGTGTAACACGGAGAACACAAACAAAGAAGCTATAAATAAAGTATCTGCTAACAATCAGACAAATATTATTTCTGATGCCCTCACAACAAACTCCATTAAAGATGCATGCGGAGCAACAAATGATAAACATAGACTAGTCTCTATAGAATCACTATATCATGATATGTTGCCTGGTGCTTTTGATAATAGTTCAACTAATGAAAATGTGCAGTGTCATGCTTGTCAGTTAAGAAATCAAGTACAAAATGGAATGACCATTAACATGGTTTGTGCAGCATGCCCTGGTTTTCCTCGTATTTGTTCAGCACAATGCTTCCGTTGGTGGCACAGCGTTCACTTATTGACACCAGTTAATAAGGACTCCAAGTCTATAGAAGAAGATAAAACTTCTACAATAGAAAACTTATCAAGAAGTTTAAGTCCCTCTGAATTCCAACAATCAAGAAGAACTAAAGAATACAAAGCTCATACAAGATCACTTCCTTTACTTTCCGCATCAGGTGATCTTAAACCGGATGGACGAAAAAGAAAACGTAAATCTCATAGGTTTACACATGTAAAACGACATCCTCCTCAAGGTACTTCATTTTGGGTTAAACAATCTAATAATATTAATCCTATCACTGTACAACCTAAGGCTGGTCGCCCACGAAAAACACAAGTTTACATGAATATTAAAGATCCAGAATGGACACCTTACAGAAAATATTGATCATTACTAAACTAGATACAAATTAAAGAAATGAAAATATACACAATATTTTTCTTCAATATATTTATATACAAATATGATTACACTTTATTTTTCAGCTTTTGACAAATCTCTTCTTCTTCTTATAAAATATATAGATCAGTGTCATTTGAAATGTGTTATTCTTGAAAGAAATTCTCATTAACAATATAACGAATACATTGCATAAGTTGATTACGTTCTTTTCGAATATCTTCAGCTAATAACTAAATCAGTGTAATTGTGAAAAAATATTAATTAAAATAATAATATTATTATCATTTAAGAAGTGAGTTATTTTTATGTAAACTGATAATTATGTCAAATAATCGTTAAAGTACAATGGTATATATATATATATATATATACTTTGTAGATGATTGCAGGTCTGCTCAAGTTAAGCGGGAATAGTGTGATGAACCAGCTAACTTCGAAGTCATACTTCGCGGTCAGCATCTAAGGGGTAACCCTTCAACGTATCAAAGTACTATTATGGCTGCTTTGAAAACCGTATAACACAAGGGACGTTAATACGTAAATATAAGAATGAGTACAGAGAAGTTAGTGAGACCAGTCAGCTACAACTTAGGACCAGGTACATATGTGCATCGGTTCAAGTTGCCATACCTCATTAGCACAAGATGAACACTGAATTAATAGAAGTAGTCACTTCAATGGTAGTAATGTACAAAAGAAAGGTTTCATATAGGCATATAACAGGAAGAGATAATTAGGAAGAAAGATATAAAGTGATCTTAATCTCATAGTTTAAGGGGAGACAGAGTGTATACACCGACACCACTGTGGTCGATTCTGAGCCATTTCACACACAGTCTCCAACCACTGGTTACGATAGTCGTATGGACCCCAACCAAGTAGTCTGCATCTACCAACATGGCTAAGACTAAAAGTTAACAACTCTATAGACTGGTGCCACGTTTTGGTTAGACCGACCCTAACTTTCTTCCAACCATCCCCAACACTAGTCAGCATTGCGCGCCGTTGTAATCGGTGTTCAGGCATGGGTAACATGTGACCTAGTCATCTCAGTCGATGAAGATTCCCAACTGATTCACCACCACCGCATAGGCCAGTCCATGACTGCTTTAAAGACCGTATAACACAAAGGACGTTATTATGGAAGTGTATTAGTAAGAATTAGTGAGACCGCCACCGCATAAGCCAGTTCATGGAGTATGATTAACTCATGCACATTGGTTGTCTTTGAACTTGATAGGGATAGATTATCTGTTCGATATTCAATGACCCAACTGCCGGATGATTTGGTTAGGGCTCAATGACATTTCACTGGCCCTACAATAATACAGAATAATTTTGTGAATAATCTTGTTAAAGTCGACTATAATCCACTTTAATATTGATAACGGTAGCTGTGAATAATTTTTCTGTAAATGTACTAATTAGTATTAGCATGATGTACATATTTTTTAGTTATAGTAGAAATACCATTAATGGTATACCACTAACTTTCCATAATATCTATATATCCCTAATGCTATAAAATCTAAATAAATCAAGTCTAAATCAGTCTTGAGTGCTGTTAGAGGTATGAGGGCGATTATCATTTTCCAGTTGCCCACACCGTGGAAGGGTTCTTCTGGAGGTACCTCAAAAGGAAATTGGATTGCAGGTGGTTTTAGTGACCTGAGAGTGTGATCGCAGTGCCCAAGGGATAACTGCTTGAGGTCGGTCACACATGACCTTTTTGTGAGTAATTTTCGTGTTAGTCCGTACTTGTTGAGACCTTACCGCCGGAGACGGATATTCGTGGGGTAAGGCGGAGTGTGTATTTTTAGAGTCGACCTTTTCTAACCCCACCCCTCATTGTGGGAAGGCAGCATCGCTATCATGCTGGTTTTCCGAAGGAAACACCTTACTGCTGTCACACTTCTGTACAGTCAGCAATACGACTTCGCCTTCGGACCTTAGGTTTGTTGCTTTTAGTTTTACCATTCTTCAACCGACCTGTCTGACATGGTAGAACCTTGAGGAACGGTTATTCCAGCCAGTATAGCTCGGTTGGTTCATCACGATAGGCAAACCCGACCACCACGTCAATGTACCAACAACGGTCGGGCAAGTCTAAATATTTTCTAGTCGAATTATTGACAGACAAGTAAAATATACCTACCATCTGTAGTAGCGTTGGACGACTATCTATACGATGAATGTCACTTAGACATTGTCGTCGTTTAACTTGTAGCTTCACTAAAGGATGCGATGCAAATGGATCATCTTGAGAATTTTCAGTATTTTCGTTATCTGGATTATCATTGGTCTTGTCCCCCTTTTGCTTTCGTCCGCGTTTTCGACGTCGACTGCTTGAAGTATTATTGAGCTAAAAAATTAAACGAATATTTCTGGGTAATTTCAAGAGAGAGACAGAACTTATTATTATTTTTGTAAATATTATTACAACTTATTGTTTAAAATACTTTTGTAAATTAGTTGAGTATTAAGGATAGCCAAGCAGATGTAGAATTATCACCCTATTTTAGATTTCAATGATAGAAAAACTATGATTTTTTAAAATTTCATTTTAACACATAGATATTGGTACAAGGAGACACCGAATAGTTATGCGCCACACAGATCTCATTTGGTTTGTGTGAGGGCTGTGATACTCCCCGGGTGCCCAAACCGAAGCAGGTGGTTTTCTTGGGGGACCACACCCGGAACCTTCGACCTGAAGGTCTGATCTACAAGACAGTGGACCAATGTTAAGAGATGCAGTCACATGGTAGCCAGTGACCAACGATTGGTCCATACGTCATTTGTTCCCACAGGATACTGGAGCCCATGTGCATCATTGATTCGGAATCAGGGTTTTCCAACTCCTCTAGGTGGACTCTCCATGTCCACCAACGCGGTTAAAGCGCCGAACATTCGCTTTTCGTTCTCTCAATTTCGTAAACAACACCCCCGCCACGAGAAGGCAGTGAAGTTATTTCCGTGTTATTGTTACTACACAATCCCCCTTCCCAAACAATTTCATGCACCCTTTCGAGAGAGTTTTCTTGTCATCTTCAAAATAAGACAAGTATGAATGACTGGGTGATTTGTCATGATTAAATTTGAACAGCAGAAAATATATGAAGACCATAAAACACTCCGAAAAGATAATATGTCTAAATTTTAATGTTCGTGTTTGGGTTCTTTTGATTGCCTCCGTTTATATGCTTGAGGAGCACTATGAAATAACTCACTACGTTATAAATTTATCTTGGAAACGAAATGAACATAGTATAAAACGGCGAGACTATAATTTATGGACGAACCAATCACGTATAAGATAACAGGTCTTAGATTTTGGTGCGAAGTTAACTAATCCATTTGAATAAATAGCGTTTTGGCATGATAGCTCATGTCAGTTTGTGATGACCCCCCTTCCAAAAAATCTAATTCCTAACCTTAATCATCAACTGTAAATCATAATTTTAATTCTTCGCACAGGTTTATAACCTTCATTTGGTCCTGGTTATTAGATGTGCACTCTCAAGCTCAGTCTAGCGTCTCTCAAAGGTCGTCCAAAAGTTATAGTCTCACCTGTAAAACAAGTCACATATCCTATACCTTCGGTCATCATAATAAAAATCTTACCTTTTCCACAGATTCTGTAGTAGGATCGATTATATCACAGGAAGATTTATCTTTAACAGTAATATTGTCATTATCTGTGCTTTCACTGTCGTAATCCGTAGGGACTAAGCGTATGCTAGATTCTTGATTTGTAACGACTGAATTGGGACTATTTATTTGACATTGTTTTGAAGTTTTACTAGTTTTTTTCGACGAAGTTGACATCTGTAGGATACAAATGGTGGGATAATTAACTATCACTCAGTAAATATCAGTGAATAAAGACGCAATTGTGATTTTGCAAAAAAACGCATTGGTTAGTAGTCATCTAGTGAACTGAGAACCGTTAGAATTATTTCTTGTTAGTTTACGCAAAACGATAGCATTGGAAAATATTGACAAGCATATATAGGTAGGTTAACAAGTAGGATCTTTAAAGACTAAATGAAACAATTGGTTAACTTGTCACAACCAACTTCTCAATGTTTACAGTTTATTTTTTCATTATCATTGGTACTATATCATCTTGAATACAATGTCAGTCCTCTTGTTAATGTGATTCCACAGTGACAATTTGGTAATAACAGCTTAAGTTAATATCCATTTATGCCAGACTCTAAGTTAATTACGACTGACTAGTCAGTAGGATTCCATCTCATCACTTTGCGGTATTTATGTAAGTAAACGTTTAAGAACTAAGAAATTCAATTCTTAGCATACTGCATGGACAACATTCACTTGATATTGTTTTACTTCAATCTTCCCATTGATGTTTTTGGACTGAAATTGATCAGTCTCTTATTGGCATATGTGCATACTGTGCGTATGCCTCAATATTGCCTTAATTTACAAGCATTATAAGCAAAGATGGATAGTGGCTAGCAGTGGAATCCAGGACGCGCGTTTCGTCCTGTTTGGGAGTCGTCAGCTGGATGTACCTGCATCTCAGAGTTGATGTTCACTCTGGGACTCGAGTGAATTAAACTTCAACCCATTGCACAAGCAAGTGGCTATCAGGACTCAGTAGCTAAGTGGATAACGCGATGGCGTTTGAAGCGAACGGTACTGAGTTCGAGTCCCAGAGTGAACATCAACTCTGAGATGCAGGTACATCCAGCTGACGACTCCCAAACAGGACGAAACGCGCGTCCTGGATCCCACTGCTAGCCACTATCCATCTTTGCTTATGCATGGACAACAATTTTAAATATACGTATATGATATGAGAATTGCATAATACTCCTCAAGAATCTGTCGAATATTGCATTAAATACATTTTAGTTATTATTTACAAATGTTGTACATTGTGATATCAGAATTTATGGAACTAGAACTGATAACAATAGTGATCAAGACAATAAGAATAGTGCTAAGTTTCAAAATTATCACTAATGAATAACCGTATATGGCTGAAACTACACACCCTATATGTAATTTGGTATCATCTTAAGGTATAGATTTCTCATCATACTAATAAGCATGAATAGGGAATTTGAAAATTGAAGAAAAATGCAGATTTACATTACTTTGTTAGATGAAGCATTGACTTCACCTATTTGTGATGAATGTAGGACATTTGAATTCGGTTTGTTCATCGAACTAAAGTATAAAAGTGAGACGGGTAAATACAGTATTATAACGATGTAAATTAACAGAAACACAAGG